TATTATTGCATAAAGTCTTTGTACAACCACTGGAAGTATGAACACAAACATTTGGCAAAGCGGTTTTGTTTATTTGTTTTTTTTTTATGGCAAAAAAATTCATTCAACTTGGAACATTTCAGTTTACGTTTGAGAGAGAGAGAGAGAGAGAGAGAGAGAGAGAGAGAGAGAGAGAGAGAGAGAGAGAGAGAGAGACAGAGAGAGAGAGCGACAGAGAGAGAGAGAGCGAGAGCGACAGAGAGAGAGAGAGAGAGAGAGAGAGAGAGAGAGAGAGAGACAGAGAGAGAGAGAGAAACCAGAGGAAGAGGCCGATTTCAACATAACCGAGCTGGAGCCAACTTCCTTATATGGGCATTTATTCGTGCCATAACAGAGGCAGACGTGTTGCTAAGACGGTAGATTGGTCAAACCTTACATGGCTCATATCTGAATTTACCAAGACAATATCTCAGTTTAAACAAAACAAAAAACACCAAATCTTTTTTAATATTTTAAGCCCAAAATGGTGAGTGTGACAAAAACAAATACTGAGATAGAAGAGTTTACTTTTACATGTAAGTGAATAGGAGCCAGGGCGAGTTGGAGCAAAACCTCGCCCATGAGCACTTCCCTCTTGGGCTTTATTGCGTTAGCATTGTTCATCTATATACAACCCATGGTCCAGTTTCTAACCATGGAAACATTTTAAAGCTTAAATGTTGAAAATATTAATAATTTAAGTGCATATGACCAGTTCCACCACACAATCCAAAACAAATTTTCCTTTATATTTATTTGATCTTTAAAAAAAAAAAAGTGTTTCTTGATTTTGGCAATATTTCACATATTACTTCCTGGTTAGACATGAGTGGCATAGAGGAAATTACCATGGTTACCGCATCGTAAACAGCGTCAAATTTACATCATGGTGATCTATCCGGATCTATCACTGAGTCTACGTCCCCTCCTTCACCTCTGGGCCTGAGCTTTGGGTAATGACTGAAAGGAGGAGCTTGGAGTAGAGCTGCTGCTTCCTCATGTGGAGAGGAGCCAGTTAACGTGGCTCGGGCATCTGTTTGGGATGCCTCCTGGACGCACCCTGGGGAGGTGTTCCGCGGATGTCCCACCAGGAGGAGACCAGGGGAGGACCCAGGACACGCTGGAGGGACTGTGTCTCTCAGCTGGCCTGGGAACACCTCAGGATTCCCCCAGATGAGCTGGAGGAAGTGAGTGTGGAGAGGGGAGTCTGGGCGTCTCTGCTCGGACTGTTGCTCCCACGACCCAGCGATGGATGTAGTGTAAGAAAAGGATGTGTGGAAGTATCTTTTAGCGTGTTGAATGAATATAATTTTTTTTTTTTGCGGAATACATGTCCTTGATTTTGATGACATCACAAGGGGAGGGGTCCCGTTTGAGAACTCCATTTCCTAAACGTTTCTATGCAAACACTACTATAAATATGAAATACAGACATTATCTGTGCAACAAAGTCTTAATAAGTCGTAAAAAGTAACACAGTTGAACTCCCAGAGCAGTCAATGGGACGGCTTGTGGAAGTGTAATAGGAGTTTGGTAAAAAGCTAAACATTAAAACTAACACTGTTTTGGGGACTGGTTTGAATGGGAGCCGTCCAAATGACTGCTGCGGGAGTCCTGCTGATAAGATCGTTCTCATGTTATTTCTCTGTAACAGACATTTCCCATTGACCTTACTGCTTCAGACACAGATTTCAAAGTTGTGTAAAACATCGACGACCTGAGAAAGTGTAGCTCCAAATCCATCCAGCAGATTCACACGTTCAGCTTTTGAAGAAGACTTTTCACAAACCGCTCCGGAAACTTCATCAGGGACTCAACCAGGATCAACAAAATGAACCAGGATTCAAACAGAGCACATGGTCCTGAATCCACCACTTTCAGAGCTGTTTCCTTTGGTGTTTATGATTATAGAAGGAGATGGTTCTGAAGAGCAACACCCCCATGTGGCAGAAGTGTCAAATTAACATTTACAGTCAACGTTTACAATTGTACAGCGTGATAATAGCGTGGTTGTACCACACCATAGTACAAATTACATTTCGTACTAAGTTCTGGAGGTGCTCCATTGAGCTTTACAGGTGGGAGGGGTTAACTCCTTTTGCAGATTGAAACGATTGGATCTGAGTTTACCGTGACGTATGTATTGCGCCCGAGTGAGTCGTTAGCTTTTAGCATTTAGCCTAGCCATCTCCTTTGCCGCTAAAAGACCTGTGGGGAGCAGCGCCACAATCTTTGCCGGCAATTACATTTGCTAAACATTCCTCTGTCTACGGCTTCAATTTCTTGATAGAACCAGGCCGGATTACTTTACTATCGCATTCTTCGCCACTGCCAAAATACAACCTGCCTGTTCGGCGTAAACCCTTGACGTCGCCCACATCTAACTACAACACCCGCCTCCTGCACTCGCTGATTGGTCGGATGGAATTCAACCGATTGTAATCTCAAACACAGGGACCAGACGTTTACATGCAGGGAAATGATGATTGATCAGTGTACGGATGGGCCAGGCTAGCGTGATCGTGGATTATGTATTATTTGGATTGGATTATTATTATTGTCTCTGAACCTCGACCGTAAGTCAAAAACATTTATTGTTCATTGCTATTCACCCGCTGTCCCATTGTCTGTTTTGGATCTCCAGCCTCAGTCCTGGATCTACAGCCTCAGTCCTGGATCTACAGCCTCAGTCCTGGATCTACAGCCTCAGTCCTGGATCTACAGTCTGTCCTGCCATGGGGGAACTTTCTCTCGATGTGGTCCTCCCCAAGCTTTCTCACTTTCTTCCCACTGTCCTTTTTTTCCTAAGGACAGTGTTAATCAAGGGCTTTTAAGGACATTTTTAACATTTCTGGACAGTGGTCTCCCGCTCACTATGGACCAATGTATTTTTCGTTATCGCATTTCCTGTGTTCAAACTGTTTGATTCTCTGATCTATTGTTGAGAAATCAGCAACGTTGTAAAGTCCAATGAGACGACTACTGCACTGATTTAGGGCGCTTTGAATTGAATGAAAAATCAGAGCGGTTTGGTGAAAAGTGCTCCTCTCTTTCTGCCGTAGGTTTGAGTCCTGCTCTAGTTTTGCTGCTTAAGTTGCTATGTTATTTTCCAGTCTTTCAAAATAAAAGCACATTGAATATATATACGCACGGAAATCCACACAAGACAAACACATGCTTAAAACAGACATAATAATACAAAAATAGTAGCATATCTCTGAAGAGGAATATTCAAACCGGGCGTGGAGTTTATTATTGCTGCCGATTTCTGATCTCAAAAGCAGAGTTAGCCCTTTTATTGCCGCTCTTATTGTGAAAAAGCTGGGCACACATCCAGGTCCGGTCTCTGGACGTTTAGTGCTTTTTCATTCAATTGTAATGAAAGTATTTTGTGCAGAGGACGGAGCCGTAAGCGATGGGTCCAAACACGTGGCCATCACGCCACCAAACACGTGGTGGTGGCGCTAGGGTGCGGGTTGGGTCGTCAGAAAACAGGCTGATATGTAAAGCAGAGATGGTTTTCACAGGCAAAGATGGCGCTTTTGAGAAGGACTTGTATCTGAATTTAACCCCATAAAACATTAAAGAAGACATAGTGTACATTACTTTTGATCTTTTAAAATGATAATTAGTTTAAAGAGTGACTACATTTTAGATGGCGACAAGTATGAATGATTAAAAACTGCTTTTTGCCCGGAAATCCCTTTTACCAGGGCTGTCAAACTCATTCTGGTTGGGGGCTAAAGTAAAAAAGTGGTTTTCTTTATTATCATTATTTGTTACTTTTTTTTACCATTACATTTTATTTCACATGAGTTTGGATATGGGGCGACAGTAGCTCAGTTGGTAGAGCATTGGCCTTTGAGCCTGAAGGTTGTGGGTTCGAGCCCACCATAAGACCTACTTCACGACTCCCACTGATGACTGCTGTCGTTGTGTCCTTGGGCAAGACACTTAACCCCACTTTGCCTGAAGCCCCCATTGAAAGATCTCAGCTCCTGTGGACTCACCACCTGCAGGAGGATCAGTGAGGGGCTGGTGCTCTGTGATTGGGTGCAGCTCTGACTGCCACCCCCCCAACCCAGAAATGGATTAAGGGGAAGAAAATGGATGGATGGATGGATGGAGTTTGGATATTATTTTCTTGGCCCAAATTTCATGAAGAAGAGATGTAATTGAAGACTGATAGTTAACTATAAAAAATATATCTTAGACATACTCTTCTGATTAGACAATTTAGAACAGAATAAATTATTTGGTTGTTTTCCTGAGATATTAGACTTTAGCCGCAGTATCTAATTACATCAATGCTGCAAGTCACTGTAATAATGATCATTTTAAATCCTTTCAGGGGCCACTCAAACCCTGACTCTCGCCAGACCCTTGTTGTTCCACCATGCTCCACCAGAGGCGTTTGGCTGTGAAGTGCAGCGAATTACATGGGTCTGGCGAGAGTCAGGCTAACTAAAACTTCTCTTGCGGGCAGGACTGTTGCCACGGGCCAGAGTTTGACATGCCTACCCTGTGCTATCACCAAAAGGTAGGAGTGGTAACACGCCTCCTCCTGCTGGGACTCTGAGGAGCACAGGGACTGCCCTCCTGCTGGTGCCCAGAATTAAGTCTTCCTGAAAATGTGTGACAGGCTTCTACTCTGAGAATGTTCCAATCGTGGTTAAAAACAGTCCTGTTTAGCTGCAACAACTGAAGGATTGTATCTTCTCTCTCTTGGACGCATGTATGAACTGTGGCTGGCCTTGATCCTCTGCTGTGGATTGTGTGTCTCTTAAACTCTGCGCTTTCCGTCTGTAATTCCCCTTGATGCCTACTTTTACTTTCACTTTAGCAAGAACTCTATTCCTTAACGTTGAGATTAAGATACAAGTTTCACCGCCATCTTTTGCCAGATAATAGAAAATCATCCTTAAATTGGACCAGGCTCTTCTGACCCAGCTCCGCCCCATCTCTCCCCATCTCTCCCCTCCTCACTGCTGGCTCTCTGCGTCGCTCTCGGCTCTCTCCCGGTCCCTCTCTTCCTCCCAGAAGTCCTCTTCGTCGTCATCCTCTTCCTCATCCTCCTCCTCCTCTGTGGGTCTGTCCTCCTGCTTGATGGCCTGAATGGCTGGAGGAGGACCAGGGGTAGTCGTGGTGCTGCTCTCCCCAGAGTCGGAGCTGTCCTCGAAGGCCTCAGGGTTCTCCAACATCTCCCTGATGAGCGGCGGCATGGGCCCAGGGATCTCGGTCTTCAGAGTGATGGCTCGCTCTGCTCCTGTGGGTGAAAGAGAGAGGCTTTTGGACATGTATCTCTCTCTCTGGTCTCTCTCTGGTCTCTCTCTGTTCTCTCTCTGGTCTCTCTCTGGTCTCTCTCTGGTCTCTCTCTCTGGTCAGTCTCTCTGGTCAGTCTCTCTGGTCTCTCTCTCTGGAACGTGGTCTCTCTCACCCTTGGTGCTGATCCCGCGCAGGTCGGTCACCTTCATTAACATGCGTGGGAACATGTGTGGTTTGTTTGGTCGTCTGCGTCGTGTGTAGATCTTCAGAGCCTCCAGCAGCGGCTCCTGGAGTCTGTCCACTTTTTCTGGCTCCTCCAGGTCCTGCCGGTCTGCAACACAACAATCAGAATCAGAATTCTTTCTATTGCTTTCATTGTGAGTAACAAGAAGTCACAAACTAAGAAATTGCTTTAGCTCTCCGTGCAAACAAGTTAAATATAAAAAATAGAATAGGGCTTAAAAAATCAATATAACATTTCTTAAAATTGCTATTAAATACAAGTGCACAAAGAACACACATCACAGAACAACACAACGACCACATAACCACACAATCACACAACAACACAAAAACCACACAAACACACAACCACACCCTTAGGTCAGACACGTTCTCCTGCACAGAGCGCCTGCAGTACCTCCGCAGATGAGGCAGATGGCGCTCAAGAGGCCGGTCTCTGTGTCGTCCATCTGCAGCGGCAGCAGCTGTGTTGCGAAGGCGAACACCAGGTCAGTGAGGGGCCCGAAGCCGGCATTGTGCATCTGCGTGCGGTTGAGCGTGAGGCCATCGGAGAAGGTCATGGTGTCCTGCTCCGGAGTGTAGCGTGTGCAGATCCTCAACATCTACAGCACAGAGGACAACAGCCTCACACAGGGTTTCTCAACCTGTGTCACCCTAGGACCCACCTGATCACTCACTGATATAAAAATGACTATTATATGATTTATTATAGGACACAGGCAGCTGAAGAGAAAACGGGTTAGCATTTTCCATTTGTATTCACAATACAATGTCTATGTTAGCCTATGGTCCCAGGCAGCAAAACAATTCCTGTGTGAGTGACCAGTTACCAGGATGTCGAGGCAGGCCGACTTGAGCAGGGTGATCTGGTCGGCGATGGTCAGTGTGGTGAAGCCCGGCAGGCGCTTGGCAAACTCTACAATCTTTATGATGCATTTGGTGGAGAGCTCACTGAACTTATCCCAGAGACCCAGGTCCAGCTGCACGCGCTGGTCTGCACTGGAGTTCTGGAGGAGCAGCAGGAGGTCAATACAAGTACATACGGATCATTGTAATTAGTAATAGGGTCATGTTTATACAGCACTTTCAATGAGTTTAGTGCCCAAGGACTCAACAAAACTAAACAGCATTCTGTAGAGAGGCCTTAAAATGAGGAACGCAACTTTCAAACCAAATTGTAAAAAAGTTATGCCTCTGTCACATCTTTGAATCAGCTTTTCAGACAGAAAAGTGAAACAGAGAGGATCACTCTCTCTCTTGGCCAATCAGAGAGAGACCAGAGAAAGATCATAGAGGGAGACCAGAGAGAGAAAGACCAAAGTGACAACGGAGAGACCAAAGAGACAGGAACCAGTGTGAGACCACCAGTACACCAAATTAATGTTTCACCTTTCTGTCCTCAAAAAGAGGCCAAGAAAACATGAAAAATAGTCATAGATGCAAACGAGCTAGAAGATGTTATCACATAGACCTGTTGCAGTGGTTTGAAAGTTACATAGCCCAGCTTTAGGCAGTGCTTCACATTGGCCTGTGCTTGCATGTGTGGTCTCTCTCTCTCACCGTGGTGTACTTCCCCAGCTGGCACAGCGATGGAAAGGTCTCTCTGTGAGCCTTGCTGACTTTGTTCACCAGCTCCTCCAGCTCTCCGCTCAGCTCGTAGCTCTCCGGAACCACCACCTCCTCCTTCACCTCCTTTTTCTTCTTGTTTCTGTCGTTCCGCACCGCTGCGCACAAGCAAAAGGCACCAGAAAGTCACAATCAATGCAAGGAAATTGAACGTCACATAATGATGAAGGACTTGAAATCATAATCTCGTCATTGTCTGACTTTGTCTTGGCTAAAAATGATAGACTGTGTATAAGAGGAGAGGACCAGAAAGCCACAATCAATAGTAGTAGTAATAGTAGTAGTAGTAGTAGTAGTAATCTTTATTTATATACCACCTTTTCACTGCACATCGGAGTCTAAAAGCGGTTTACAATTGTTATTTTTGGGAGTGGGGGTGCCAGTACAGGAGGCACATGCCAGACCTATTGTACATATTTTTAGTGGTAGGGGAAACCGGAGCACCCGGAGGAAACCTACGCAGACACGGGGAGAACATGCAAACTCCACTCAGAAAGGCCCTGGTCCAACCTGGATTCGAACCCAGGACCTCCTTGCTGAGAGGCGAGCGTGCTATCCACTCAACCACCGTGCCGCCCGTGAAGGTCTATTTAATGCTTGTAAGGGACAAAATGATATGCATTGGACACCCCCTGACCCAATTTGAAAGTAGCCTGATAGCGCTAAATTAGATTGAGAGAAAAGCAAGCTCCAGGTTTCCAAGATGTCTGCCCACCGAGTTTTCCAAGATGTCTGCCTCAGCTCTCCAAGATTTTTCCCTTAGGTCTCCAAGAGCTCTGCCCATGGTTTCCAAGCTGTCTGCCCTGGGTTTTCAAGATGTCTTCCTCAGCTCTTCAAAAGGTTTCCCTTAGGTCTCCAAGATGTCTGCCCTGGGTTTCCAAGATGTCTTCCTCAGGTTTCCCAGATGTCTGCTCCAGGTTTCCCAGATGTCTGCCCCAGATTTCCAAGATGTCTGCCCTGGGTTTCCAAGATGTCTTCCTCAGGTTTCCCAGATGTCTGCTCCAGGTTTCCCAGATGTCTGCCCCAGATTTCCAAGATGTCTGCCCTGGGTTTCCAAGATATCTGCCCCAGGTTTCCAAGATATCTGTCTAGGGTTTCCACAATGTCTGCCCTAGGTCTCAAAGATGTCTGTCCCGGGTCTCCAAGATGTCTGCCTATTGAAATCAATGTCGGATTCTCATTGGCCCATGCTCGCAACATGGACATCCCAGACATTACCAGAAGTGTGTTCTGGCCAGCTCTGGTTCTTGTAGGTGTGCAGTGGTTCTACTCCCTTCAGGTCCTGTAAATTCCTGGGCAGCCGTGCATGGAAAGTACAAGATATTTTGATATGGCTTTACACAACACTAGCAATAGTTGGGGAAAAGTGTGTTTCATCTATAATATCCGACATATGAACCAAACAATCACAGGTGTGTATATGTATTCATTTTAAGTTCCTCATATCAGCATGGATGGAGCTCAAAACATCTCCAGGTCTGTTTGTGATGGGAATAGCCTGAGTACCTTCTTTGGACATGCCGACCTCGAAGCACTTCTGCAGCCGACAGTACTGGCAGCGGTTCCGGGTCACTTTGTTGATTTGGCAGTTCTTGTCGCGGTGACAGGTGTAGACCATGTTCTTCTGGATGCTGCGGCGGAAAAACCCCTGTGGCGAGAAAAAGAAGGACTCACGTAAAACTGGGGTACCTACAATTCAAAGCACAATATGTTTAACTACATGAGAAAGTCCATGTCACTAGTTCCTGGCTCTAAAACAGTTTTAAAGATGCATGTGTTTTTGGATTTTGTCACATCTTGGTCTCTGCCTGGTCCTTCTCACTAGTCTCTTTCTGGTCTCTTTCTAGTCTCTCTCTGGTTTCTGTCTGCTCTTTCTCTGGTCTCTCTATTCAACAACGTATTCATCTATTAGTGATACTTTACTGACATTATATCTTTACATATATGTATATGTATGTTTTGGTATTTTTGTTTTTGTTGCCATGAGTTTTTTTTGTATTTCAACAAAATAAAGAGGATTTGGAGTCGACCAATAGATGATTTGTGCTGCTTATTTTTCCAGGTTTTGGACCATTGAACGCACAAGGAACAGTTACATTGATTAATGTGAAAATATGTGTTATGCAGGTTTCCATAGAAATAATCTGTATTGGTTTTAGTAAGAGCAATCTGCCACTAGATGGCAGCGTCACTCTGTGTGTGTTTGTGTGTATTGTGCTAGTGTACAGGTGTAAACATATATGTGTTTGTGTGTCTGTGTGTATGTATCTCAGTGAATATGTGTGTGCAAATATTTATGTGTCTATGTGTCCTGGTGTATTTGTGTGTATGTATTTATGCACAGTAAGTGTGTGTGTAACTATGAGTGTGTCTGTGTGTATGTATGTGTGCTCTTGACCCGCTCCCCTCTCACCTTGCAGCCCTCACAGGAGCTGACCCCGTAGTGATACCCAGACGACTTGTCCTGGCAGACGAAGCAGGGCTTGTACACTCGTGGAGGGGGAGGAGGGGAGGGCGAGCTGGGGACCATCTCCTCCGAGCTGGTGCTCTGGGTCTCCACGGCTGAGGACGACACGAAGACCAGTCACAATGTGTGTGTGCAGAACAAGAAGATAGCACAAAAGAAACGTTTTCACAGAATGGGTGAAATGTGTTGCCAAAGGACACAACAGCAGTTTACGGTCAAGGTCTCCCATCACAGCACTAACCAGGCCCTGAGATGAAACTACTGTCTAAGTCCTGGATCTACAGCCCCAGTCCTGGATCCATAGCCTCAGCCCTGGATTTACAGCCTCAGTCCTAGAACTACAGCCTCAGTCCTGGGTCCTGGATCTAAAATCTCAAACCTGAATCTAAAAGCCTCAATTCTGTCTGTTCGTGGGATAGAATAAACTTTATATATACACATTATATACAGTATATATATATATATATATATATATATATATATATATATATATATATATAATGTGTATATATATTTTTGAGTGGTTCCTTGCTGATGCAGGAGGGGCAGTGATGAACCGAGACATTCATGAACATTTATGGACAGTGGTCATCCCACTCCCTATGGACCAATGGCTGATTATCTGATCAATTGTTGGCGAATCATTGTAAAGTCCTTCGAGGTGACCGCTGTTTGGGGCGATACACAAATAACTTGAATTGAAATCATGATTATATATCACCTATTCTTGGGAGCGTATGTAGAAATTTAAGCCTGAATCTGGTGCAGCACACACCAGAGGGATGTTTTGTTAAAAGTACGTGTTGAAGAAAAAGTGATCAGCGTTTGAGAGAAAGGGGCGGGACCAGGCCGGGTGATTGACAGCGACACAATTAGCTGATGGGCCAGATGGTCCCGCTGATAAAACTCTGATCGGCAGCTCGCGTTTGATTGGGTTCGTTTGAGTTTTACTGGTGTCAGGAGGGGAGGAGGGGGTAGGGGGAGGTAACATGCCGTTAAAGGAGAGGTACGATGCCATGATTGTGTTCATTAAAGCTGGGGAACCTCATTTTGAAACTGCCAAAAATGAAACAATGTCATAAAATCTGTGTCTTTAGTCCCTCGCTCCGTGTACTTCTTTGTCACATCTTTAGATCAGCTCGGCTGGGGACAAGAGAGGAACTAAAGGAAACCAGATAGAGGGAACAGACAGAGACCAGAGAGAAACCAAAGAGAGAGAGACCAGAGCGTGATGTTAGAGAAAGATCAGGGAGAGACCAGGGAGAGCCATAAACCATAAAGAGAGAACAGAGACCATCAAGGAACCAGAAAGAGACCAGAATGAGACCAGAATGAGTGGCCGATGAAAGACAGGATGTTTTCTAATGAGATAAAGAGAGTATGTGGTCGGACTTGCTCACAGCATCTTACTTTCACTTTCTGTTCGGACAAACATGTGTTATTTATGAATCTTAAAAAGGAATTCCTTCCTTTGGAAATAGCTGGTGTTAAAATGCATTGATCTTGTGTTTCTCCACACTTTCCCGTCTCTCAGCACATTGACCATGCCTTTCACCCCGGCTTCACCCCGGCCTTCCCCCCCTGCGCTTCCTGGCTCCTCACATTCCTGGGAGCGGGGCGGCCGTGGCTTTAATAGGGCCTCAGCCTCGTATCCTCGGCCCGTAAAGTCTGCTCGAGCCTGGGAAGGAGCCCGAAAGCCCGGCCCCTGTGCGCTTTATGGGGATCCAGTCACCTCCGCGCCGGCTTTCACATCCCCCAGCCCAGCCCAGTTAAAAGAAGGCAGCCCAGAGAGGTCACAAGTATGTCTCTGTGTGTTATTTAAAATGGGTTAAAGCTGGGGTGCGTAACTTTTTTGTATTCATATATAACATATGTTGTTTGCCCCCCGACTGAAAAAGTATTGTAAAAGTAAAATAAGACTCAGATTACACCAATCTAATCTTCATTGTACTAGAGAGAGAAAGAGAGAGACCATGGAGAGATCAACGAGAGAGCAGCGAGAGACTAGAGATACCAGAGAGACCAAGGAGGGACCAGAGAAATATCAGATAGAGAGAGATCAGAGAAAGACCAGAGTGAGACAAGAGAGAGACCAGAGAGAGAAAAAGTCCAGAAAAAGAGGCCAGAGAGATATCAGATAAAAAGTGATCAGAGAAAGACCAGCGAGATACAAGAGAGAGAGCAGAGAGAGACCATAGAGAAGCCAGAGAGGAAGACTAGAGAGAGACCAGAGAGAGACCAGAGAGAGACCAGAGAGAGACCAGAGAGATAAGATAGGGCTCTCCTTTTTTTGGCTATGAAGTTGCCAAACCACACAGTCACAGAACCAACAAGCAGACTTTCAATGACGCAACCATAAAAGTTAAGCAGAATCTTAGAGTTTGTGGTAAATTCTCTACATTTCAGCGGAAAGAAGAGACGCTGACAAGCTTTCTTAACATGATTGGTTTTTTGTCTAACTAAACCCAGAAACCTCTACTACTACTATTAATACTGCTACTAATACCACTACTGCTACTGCTACTGCTACTGCTACAGATGCTGCTTTTACTGTGTCCTTTATGAGGATGCAGTCACCTCCACATCCCCCTGCAGTAAAACTACAACGTCCTGGAGAGGTCAAAAAGCAGAACAAAGTCACTGCCATTTGTGAGTCTGGCTCTAGTAAAACTGTTTGTGTTAAAGTTCGAGCAAAGATGTGAAAAAGGCATTCACCGCAACGTACTTTTGTCTCATCGTCTACTTCTACTGCTCTGTTTTCAAAGTCCCTCAGACCAAGTGTGACATCACCACAGTGTTAGCCTAAATGCAAAAGAAGCCGATTTGAACATGAGCTAGCTGGAGCCAATTTGTGTTCTCTGTGGTCAAGCTGGAGTTTCCCCCGCGAATGAAGGCATCTGATTGGTCAATCCTTAAATGGCTCAGATGGATTTACAAAGACAATATCATAATATCACTAAAGCATAGATTTTTAACCCTAAAATTGTGATGTGACACAAACGGTTACTGAGCTAGAGGAGTTTACTTTTACAAAACTTCGTCCATGAGCACTTCCCTATTGGGCTTCATTGAGCTAACGGGTTATCATTGTCCATCTGCATACAGTCTATGGATCCGATTTACATGCATTTGGTTCCGGTTCGCACTGGTTTTTCACTGTTCACTCTTCTCTTTTCTAAAACACATGCTTTAAAAACACAACGACGAGGGAACGATGTTGTTTCGCGGTTAAGAGAGAGAAAGTCGCATTACTTTATCTCTTTTAACATTAAAACTGTCACTTTAAGTTTTGGAAGTGTCATTTTTTTGCTTTATATTCAGTTTGTTTCTATATTTATTGATAAAAGTGCTTGTGACCATAGCAACACACTGGGTACCTATACAGCAATTAGCCTTAGACAGTCATTAAACAAACTGTTTTTCTGTATTTCAAGTTTTATACACTAGTTTAAATTACTGTTTTTACTTTGTTTTTTTTTTATCATTCTATCAATTTGAATGGAAGCCATCAAAATGACTGCTCTGGAAGTGCGAGTTCTTCTACAGCCACATGCTCTAACTCTCCCCTCCGTGGCCTCTGCGTGCATGAAGCCTCCTCCTGGTCTCTGGGTCTACTGGGTCTTGGCCTGGTCTTCCTCCAGGACCCAGGCTTGAACCCGGTCTCTGTCATTAACAAGAGTGCTAAGGTTTCAGCCGCGTACGCACACAAAGGCGCACGCCGTAAAAAACAGCAGAATGCGCAGATACACCGTAAAACCGCAGCAAAAGGCCGAGGTGAGACCAGGGACACGGGTTCGACCTTGACTGAGAGGACCTCAAAGACGCAGCTGAGAGAAGCACGACGGAGACGGAGAGGCCGATAACCAATAATCTCATATCAGGAGCGGACTGACCGAGTGTGACATCACCATAGTGTTAGTTAGTTCAGAAGAGGCCGATCTGAACATAAGCAAGCTGGAGCCAATTTCCTTATAAGGGCATTTGTTCCACAACGTAACAGCAGGAGCTTGTTGCTAAGACGGTTAATCAGGCTCAGATTTTTTCAGGCCAAAATAGTGAATGGGACACAATCTGTTACAGAGCAAGAGGATTTTACTTTACAATGTAAGTTAATAGGACCCAGGACGAGTTGGAGAAAAACTTCCCCCATGAGCACTTCCCTATTGGGCTTCATTGAGCTACAGTCTATGGTTATAACTAGTCTTTAAACACTGCTTCTATCAGTATCCCCAGTCCTGCATTGGGGGTTGAGGATGGCTTTTTCACAACATACTGTACAGTATATATTCCATACAATGTCTGTACTGTATGTGTGTTGTCTTTTATGAACTTTTAAAGCTGTGGTATCCAATGTTTTTGTTCCATAAGTAATATGAGTGCTTTTCATATCTCATCAAAAAGGAAAAAAAAATGTGTCAACCACGAAACTCACACAAACTCAATATTTTTAACTCTAAGTCGTCCGTCTCTGCGTGACACCTGCGCGTACATTCGGGGAGGTTCTCTGGTTGTTTTAGGGTCCCACTGAGACCCTAAAAATTGTGAATGTGCTTTTGAACTCGTCCTGTTTGGAAATATGGACAACCCAAGAGGAGGAGATCTGTCTCTATAATGGTCTCGTCAATTTAACACTGTCATATTAGGGTTAAGTATGGTTTGGCTGTGGCTGTGGCTCAGAAAAAACTATAATTGGGCTTGAATGATAAAAAATTTATAAAATCAAATACAGCCTCAGTCCTGAATCTAGCCTCAGTCCTGGATCTACAGCCTCGGTCCTGGATTTTAAGGTACTACTACCAGTCTAGCACAGTGTCTTGTTTGTATTTGACAGTAGGAGTCGTTCAGTCTGAGAGCAGACAGCAGCAGAGGTGAGGCGCAGGTGAAGGAGACAGAAGAGCTTTTCTTTTCACTCGCAGACGAGAGGCGTGTGTGTGTGTGTGTGTGTGTACATGTGTCTGTGTGTCTGTGCTCGTGTATGTACATGTGTGTGTGTGTGTGTGTGTGTGTGTACATGCATGTGTGAGGTGATGACAGCTCTCCACAGTTTGGGATTTTGCACATTCAGGAAGGTACAAGCCCATGTCCTCTACTGCTA